GCGGACCAAGATGGTGGTTGTGGCCAGTCAGTTGCAGGAAGGGAGAGACGGTCACACGCTCCCAGGAGGGAGTCTAAAGGTGCTGTAGCTAGCCCGATACTTAGGCCAGGTACCGACCGAGAGAAGACAACTCAAGGGAAGGGAAGACAGCACTAAAAGCCCACACAAAGGGGCGGAGGATGCGGGAGACGGGAGGGAGGGCAGCGCAGGCGCAGCTCAAGTTTAGGTGCAGGTGAGGTGCAGTGATGCGCAGGAGCAGACCGAGCAATTAGGGGCACCGACGGCGCAGCGTGGCGTTGCGGGACGTCGGGACTGGCGGAGAGGGGGCTCGACGGTGAATGCATGGAGCTGGGCAACAAGACGGAGTTTACTGCGGGCAAGACATGTTCGGCATTGCGATGCACTGGCCTCATCAACATCAACGGTCGATGGTCAGGATACCTACCTTAGCCATTCGCATCTTGCCTAGCGTCGAGCATCTAATTACCTAGCGTATCCGTCCTTGCGGAGAGAGAGAACCCAAGATAACTGCTGACGTACGCACAGCGATCAACCTTTTTTAGAGCGTCGCGACCCTGAGAATCATCTTCTAGGCCACGCAAACAAGCGTCTCAGCGGCTCCCATTCACAACAACCCGCGTATGAAGAATAGCCTACTGGGTCCGGTCGGGGTCGTTGGATTGGGGGTGCCCGGTTGATCATCTTACAGCTTGGGAGGGAGTTCCGCTGGCAAGCAGAGGCTGACAAGGGCCGGCGTCCTTCCATTGGCCTGGCGGAGGGATGGATGGCCCCAAAAGGTGGTGAACCCAAGATATCAGAGTTGCCGTCCTGTGCCGGCTTGGACGCTTGGTATCGCGATACGCAGTGCCATGTCAGTTTCGGTCTGCAGCGTGGTCCGGCTGACACTGTCTTTCGCTGCAGCAAGTGTGCCACCTCGTAGCTTTGGCAGCCATGGCAATGAATGACAGACCTCGCGCCGCGACTCGACTCGACTCGACTCAAGCCGTTGGATTAAGGTAACCCAAGGGACGCGTTGGTGGCTTGATGTCTGAGACTGAGATGCGGTGTTGTGCGAGGTGAGGCCATGCCAGGCCTACAGGCTACTGCATAGCAAGGCCAAGATACCTTACTTCGTGGGGCATCGTGGCATCGCACATCTGCTGTTGTGGCCAGTGTTGTTGTCTCAACTACTGGATCTGTGTCTGCATCTGTATCAGCAAAAAAGTGTCTCTTTCTTACCTTGCCGCCGTGTATCCGCAAGATGTAATTATGAGCGACACAAGTATCTCCACCGCGGTTTCGTTGTGCAAATCTACCTGGAATGGCGACGGGCTCCAGATAGACAGACAGCCACAGAAGGTGCCTGTCGGCGGTGGTCAGCGAGATTCCGCCAGCCGTGTCTCCACCGTCCCGTCCCATCCCTTCCCACTCCTACGGCGCAGCACCCTGCAGAAGCCCAAGAAGCCCACGGCGAACGAGCCAGTGACATTCACCCGCCAATCCAGCGTCGGCTTGTCGTCATTTCCGCCCTGCATGTCCCGAGCCAAGTCGCATCCCACTGATACAGCACTCCAGTTAACGACGGGGACCTGCCCAAGGGCTTCCGCCTGCCTGGCCTTGGCTTCCCCTATTCTATCGCCCGTCTCCTCCTTGCTTCCACCCAAAGTCCCAGAGTTCCGCTCCTCCTCCCCAAGAACCGAGCTGACACCCACCCCCAACCACCGACCACCCCCCAAGGCGCCCAAGGCCAAGGGAGGGAGCCAAACCCAAAAAAAGGATGGGATTTCTGGGCATCGCCAGACCCTCGGCTTTGTCGGCTGCCCGTCTATCTGTAGACTGTGTCTGTGTGGATTGTTTTCCTGTGCATTGCCATCCCATCCCATCCCCCGAGCGACTTCAGGCGCTCACGAGAGCGAGGCGCGCGCTGCCCTACCTGACCTATCCGGAAAGCTAATCAAGGTACCGTTGTCACCTACCTGAGAGGGCTCTAGACTCGAGCTAACGTGCCTTACTCTCCGTCGCAAGTAAGCAACCGTCCCAGGTACTAGCGTCCCTTTCGCCGATTTCGGCACCGTACACGAAACGAATCACACGAATACTCGTTCACAGGCGACAGGAAACAGCTCGACAGCAGCTTCAGCTCAATATTCGTTGCTTTCCGCTATCAATCTATCAAGCTGTCCTGGCAATTGCTGCTTGGATGCTTGTCCATGCCCAGAGCCGCATTTAAATGAGATCGGCCAGTGATAATGACTCTTTTACCCACGCGCCCCTTGGCGGGTGGTTCGCTCTGCCCCCACTGTTTCCGCCGCCTCTGCCTTGATGAACCAGTGAAGCTCCTATTTGTGACTGGCTGTGCTGTAGACTGTGACGTCCTCGATCCAAAGTTGGCATCATGTAAGCAGCTTCTTCGCCAGAATAATTACTGCCCCAGTTGTCGAATCCCAGACCGGAAGGACCTGGAATTTCTGGAAACACACCTGGCAGACCCACAAAAAATAAACGTTGGTGGGCTCGTGCCGTTCGCCGTCCGCCGTCTCAGAGTTGAGAATCCAGACCGATTAAAACGGTACGTATCGACGATTATCTAACACTGCTTGGACTCCGTTCTGTGTACGCAGTGCAGTATACGTACCCCCAGGTAGGCAGGGCCTCATCTCAGAATCATCCCAATCACTCCGGTCCATCCAGAGTTCTAGACGGCATCATCATGTTCCTTTTCTTCGCCCATCACCACCCTTCAACCCCGGTCTGGGAGCGGTGATTGTGTGCCCCAACCCCGGCCCTCCCACTTTCCCATCCCGCGATGGCACCTATATCTGACCCCGTCTCCTTATTAACTGGCCCCGTTTCGCTACCAGTAGGCCCCTGCCATCCGGTCGCACCAGAATGAATCAGGGCACAGGCTTACGCGGCTGCCAAGGGGCCCTCCCAAGACAAGCTCAGTTCGGACGGAGACCAGGGCGGAGCCAAGCCCATGGAATCGACAAGAGAGCTCGCCCACCGCTCGCTACTTACCGCGCATTGCCGTCAGTGCCAGTCCATGCCAGTGCCACATCTGCTCCTCCAGCACTCTGTCCCAGACCTGCCGGAGGGGCGTCCTCCACCGCACGCGCTGTCGTCAGTGCAAGGCCAGAGATGAGGATAGATGATGACAGTGGCAGCAGTGGTGCCCACGGTAGAGTGAAGGCCCGCCGCCTTTATTAATCGGAGGACGGCCCTTCTGGACGCGAGGCGGCTGGCGAGTTGGGACGGGAAACTTCAAACAGCAAGCAAGCAGCACGACGGACGCAGGGTAATTAAGGCATTTACGGATATCGTACGGGCCTTTTCGAGGTAGAGTGCGCGCTGCAATCAGATCCAACGGCTCAAACGGCGGGCGGCAGCTTCTGCTTCAAGCCAGTAACGGCGGGTAAGATGGGTAGCAGGTAGCTCAATGTACATCACACATACTCTCGCACGCTATCGGCATCCGCATCACCCCCCAAAAGGCCTCATAGCATGGCCGGTAGCTTCAAGGCTACGGCTATTCGGATGGTGTTGAAGCATCGAGACTGGAGCAGACGGCCAGAGTTTGCGGCGTAATAACCCCCAAACGCCGCGTCCCCTGGAGCTCGATGGCCGGCGAGCCGTGATGCTGCTCATCTGTGACCATCTCTAACCCGTCGCGTTGAGTTGACCTGACTCTGAGTCTGTGGCTGGGCTATTGCTGCGTACGTCGTCCGCGTGTGCTCATCCTCCCTCTCCACGTAAGTCAACGGAAGTGAGGCACGAGAGCAGCAGTTTATGAGGTTTGATTCACCACCTTACCCCTACCTTAGCTGGCCTATCGTCGCGGGGCCGGGTTTGAGCCTACGTGTGCTTGTAATTTGCTCTTTCTGCCGTCGAGATGAGCCGTAGAAATTGCCATGCAGTGATATGGTGACAGTCACCACCAGAAAAGCACCGTACCTTTCGTACTTACGGACAGCCAAGTACGAATACAGGGAGCGAATGAAAGACAGACCAGAGCAGAGCAGAGCGGCAGCAAGGAGCCAGAGGCAAATGCCGCCAGCCGAAACGTCATTGATGCCAAGCACGCAAGCGAGAAAGATGCCCGTTTGAGTATCTCGGCTTCCTCTCGTTCCTCTTCTTGTCCTTCCCCCCCCTCTCTCGCCCACGGTGCCTCCACCAGGGGAACCACCACCAAGCAAACCAACCCACGTCGTGACCAGCACCCTCGTCGGGGCCCCTCTTCTTTTTTCCCACTTCAATTCCCACTCGCCTTTTCTACCGTTGCTTTCTCTGCTGCTCTGCCACTCCAGTCCTTCTCTCTCCACACGTTTTTTGTCGTTCCTGTCGTTCCTGTCCTTCCCTCCCAATCCTTATTTTTGCCCACCCCCCCTGCTCCCAGGCTCTTCCTTCTCCTGGGTTTCGACATTAACATTGGTGCATCGGATTTAGGTACTGCCTTGCAACGCCGCGATCCGAAGTCTTGGGTTCATTTGTCCCTGTTCCACTGAACAAACACCCTTTGCTGTCACCCTCGCCTCCTGTCTCCCGTCAGCAACCTGCCTACCTACCTATCTACCTACCTGCCTGCACTCTGCACCTGCAGCTCCCGATCGGCTCTTATTTTTCCTCCTTCACCCCCTCGAGCTCACTCACCCTCCCGACGCTCTGCCTCTCGTTTGGACCTCTTCTTCTTCTTTTCCCTTTCCGGCATTTTCGACAGATACAACTCACAGTCATTTCTTCCACTCGTCGCTTGTTGGTCCGATTTTTTAAGCTCGACAACTTACGCACGCCCGTTTTGAACGCCAAACTCCCCACGCCCGGGACCGATCTGCGTCGTGAAACTTGGACAGTCGTCAGCCATTACCACCCCCTTCGCAGCCAGGGTTTAGCATTTTGCGGCGGACACACGGCCTATAAACAAAATAACATTTCGACCTTCCGACGAACGGGAAACGACCCAACTCTCTCGACTTTTACGAGCAACTGAAAAACACACCGAAAAAATGGCCGACAACTTCAAGAGCGAGGCCCGGCGGAGTGAGGAGGGCCATGGTCTCCTCAACGGCGATGAGAAGCGCGTCGAGGAGAGCTACGGTCTCGAGGCCGCCCCGAGCCCTGCTGCCGAACAGCAGGCACAGGAAGACAAGACCAACAACAACCCCGTCGAGTACACCGTTTCGCCAAATGTCAAGTACGCCTGGTTGTGCGCCTACTTTTTCTTCAGCTTGATTTTGACTCTCTACAACAAGCTGGTCCTAGAATTCGTACGTGGCTTCCTCGATTCCCTCTCAGTCTTGGCAAAGCTTCCGTGGGCGGGAGCTCTGCTAAGATGAGACGCATCATTCACCAACTCTCACAAAAAGTGCATTCACTGACTTTCTGCCCAGTTCCACTTCCCATGGCTTCTCACTTGCATCCACGCCACGTGCGCGAGCTTGGGATGCTTCGGTCTGTTGAAGGGAGGCTACTTCACCATGTCCCACCTGGGACGTCGTGAGAACCTCATCCTCCTGGCGTTTTCTCTCCTCTTTACCACCAACATCGCCGTTTCCAACCTTTCGCTGTAAGCATCCAGATTCCTCCCGGGCACGCCGCGCGGCGTCTCGCGGGATCCCGCTGGTTCCGCCTCCGGATGAGGCGGGGCCAAGCCTCCATGCAAGCATAGTGCTAACTCATCTGAACAGTGCCATGGTCTCGGTAGCATTCTACCAGGTCCTCAGAACCACCGTCCCGGTCTTCACTGTCGGTATCTACCGCACGATCTTTGGCCGTACCTACGAGAACATGACCTATCTCACTCTTGTTCCCGTCATGATCGGTGCCGCCTTGACGACGGTCGGCGAGTACACCTTCACCGATCTTGGATTCCTGCTCACCTTTGCTGGTGTCATGCTTGCTGCGGTTAAGGTATGTTAATTCTGGGTTGCCAATCACCCACCCGCCCATCATCCGAGCTTTTTGAGTTGTCGAGTCGTGCGCGGAGAGTGGCTGTTCCAATTGGACCCGTCGTCCCCGCCGCCTCTGAAACCCGATGGCCAAACCTTCAGCCCATTTACAGTTTACTTTCATGCATGAAATGAGGCGCTGACGAACACTTCCACAGACCGTTGCGACTAACCGCATTATGACCGGCCCCCTGGCCCTGCCCGCCATGGAGGTGCTGCTGCGCATGTCGCCTTTCGCGGCTATGCAGTCCCTGGCCTGTGCCGTGGCCGCCGGCGAGCTGACCAAGCTTCGCGATATGGTCGTTGGAGGCGAGCTCGGCTTTGCTACGTTCATCGCCATCGCTGGCAACGGCGCTCTCGCGTTCGCCCTCAACGTCGCCTCTTTCCAGACGAACAAGGTCGCTGGTGCCCTGACCATCAGTGTCTGCGGTAACCTCAAGCAGTGCCTCACTGTCCTCCTCGGCATCGTCGCTTTCGACAGCATCGAGATCCACCTCTTCAACGGCACCGGCATGCTCATGACGATGCTCGGTGCTGCGTGGTACAGCAAGGTCGAGCTGGACCGCAAGGCCCGCAAATAGACGACTCGCCTTGTCGGGCGACGAGTGCGCTGTAATGCGCGTGTAACGAATATCAGTAACGGCCGAAAAGCATAGAGTCGGACGCCAGGCAGAGCCGGGTCAAGTCGGCGAGGACATAGGCACGAGGCGTTTGGGTGGAATTATCGACACCGAATTCCAATCGGCAACTTCGACGTCCTACAGGGCTTGACGAGAGCAAGGGCTGCGTCTCCCGAGGACAGGATGCATGGGCAAGTCACACCGGCGCAAGCCTAGTTGAGGCTGCCGCAACCTTCGACGCTAATCCGAGCCGCCCACCTTCCTGAAAAGCCGTCAAAAGTGTACGATGGATAGAAGCAGGCTCCGTCAAACAAGCATGCATGCGCATCCGTACGGTTGCGCATCAATTATATACCCTTCGCATGGAGTAAAGGAAACGGGCATAAACACGGAATTGTTCTTTTTTATTTTCTTCTCTTCTTCGGTGGGGATTCTTCTTTTTCCAAACCAACTTCATCTGTCTTCTAGAACATTTTTCTAAAGCCCCAAGTCAAGACAAGACATTGGTAGTAATTCAAACTTACCATTTCACAATGCAGCTTGTTCCACGCGTGATCTCGCTAGTGACTGAGGGAGCTACCTGAGTGCTAATCTTAAGACGCGGCATGATGAATCCAGACCGGGCGACGGCGGATGACATGTCATCAACCCCACGTGCGGGTGTCGTTGAAGTGGTGTGGTCGGGTGAAGTGAGCCGCCCCGGTCCGTCCGCGCCCCCTCACTCACCCTTCCAACCTGCAGACGTCGGTCGGCGTTGGAGCTGGTTGCTGATGGTGTCATGTGAACCTAGTTAGACCACACCTTCCTTCGGAACGCGGCTGAGGGAAAGGATTTCAGAAACCTTAAAACACCTCACCTCATCCATCATCACCTGGTTCTTTTGATGAGTGAGAACCACCACCCCGAAATGCAGCGCGCGCACCTGCGACTGCCGTAATATGACGACTGCTTTTGACGTCGGTGCCGACGAGACGCGCAAGGTCGCCGCGTTCCTTGCGCGGTGCGGGCTGAGCGCGGAGGAGGCGGTGCCGCGGATGCACGAGTTCGCGAGGGGGCTGTTTCCCGGGTGCGAGGTTGTGGTCGCGCCGTTTCAGGGGTATTGTTCTTATACGCTCCTGCTTGTTCCCCTAGGTCAGGATGGGGATTCGGGGTGTGAGGTTGGCGATGAGAGGTTGGTGCAGTTCAGGCCGAGGAAGCATGGTATCGACGTCGGGATGTGCGGGGAGGCGAGGAAGATTCTTGGGGAGGCGGTTGGGGTGCCGGTTGTGGAGGAGCTGGGTGTCGTTGAGGGGGAGCTGGTTGGGTATGTTGTTGAACGGGTCGGTGGTGTTTCTCTTACGGAGTTGAGGAGGCGGGATAATGGTTTGAAGGAGGAAATGCGGAAGAGGGTTGTGAAGGATCTCGCGGGGATGTTTGCGGATTCGTGGAGGGGGAGACGGGATGCTGCGGCGGTGGTGAAGGGGAAGATTGGTGGGAGCTTGCGGTGGAGGTTGGATGTTATGGCGAAGGGGCTGCCGAGAGAGTTGAGGGGTGTTGTGAGGAGGGTTGTGAGGGAGATGGATGAGGTTGAGGGGCTTGGGTGGGTTGTGACCCATGGAGATCTCGTGTCTGATAACATCATGGTGAAGGGCGATGGAGGCGTGGTTGGGCTTATTGACTGGGCAGAGGCGGAGTGGCTGCCTTTTGGGGTGGGAACGTACGGGCTTGAAGAGATTCTCGGGGAAGATGTTATTATTGATGAGGAGACTGGCAGGAGTAGATTTGAATACTATCCCGAAGCCAGAGAATTGAGAGACCTCTTTTGGGAGGAGGTTGGGAGAGTGGTTGACGACGAGGACATTTTGAAGAGGGCGAAATGGGCACAGGTCTTGGGCGTGCTGCTATGGAGAGGCATTGCATTTGATGATGGGGACTTGGGAAGAGTTGTGGATGAGAGGGACTGGTGGGACTTACAGAGGTTGAGGACTTGGTTGTTCGATGAAAGAGGATTGAGGATGAGGGAGAGGTGGTGGGAGAGGGTCTGGAGAGGTGTGAGGGAGTTGGTGAGCTGCCTGTGATGAAGTCATGAGAGACGGCCGTGAATAATGAAGCGTATATACGAATAATACTAGAGATGACGAACAGAGAGGAAAGCCTCCGCTTGAGATTTGACGCAGATTCGTTCTCGAATGCTCGCTGAGCTTGAAACATCTTGTTTGGCTTCCTCGGAGAAACGACTAAGACGAGCCAGAGCTGCATTGGTGCCTGCTTGAAAGCTTCATGAACGTTTCGCTATCCCTTTATATCCTAACATAAACGAGGCTAGAGAGACTGACTGCACATTGTCAGTCACTGCCAGCACCTTTGGCATAAAAGTATTGTCCAGCAGTCATGAGATCCCCTCGTCAACCAGCCAATCCGCTGTATCAGCCGAAGCATGTTCCCAGAGTACTTGCGAGCCTTACGAGAAGCTAGTGACGCCGTTACTATGATAACAGATATTTGATACTATTTCGGTTTCGATTGTTTCTGCTCCTCTCCCTCTTCAGATTATTCATACTTCGATGACACATTGGTGACGAATTGTGACGAGTGCTCCTTAGCTTAGCCATTGCAGTCGCAGCGTGTATCAGACACCCTTCGACATATCTAGATACTGGCACATTTCTGGAGGTTGATGGAGAGATTGAAGGACGATTGTTGCCGAAGCTTTCCAAATGTCTCAGGGCTGTTTTTAGACTAACCGCCGCAAAGTCTCGGCGATGAAGCCTGCAAACCTCCCAACTCGCACCTAGAGTCCTCATCGCCCTCCTTTACATGGCAGACCTCCCCATGACTTACCAGGTAGTCTAGCAATACAGTACACCCATAGGATTCTGGATGCAAGCCCCTGCATGCCACCGGAGTTGGCCGCGGTGATGCGTGCAGCACATCCATTTGGTGTCGCATGCGTCTTTCCTTGCGATAGCCAAGCTATATAATCTAGAGCAGCTTTCTGCACCTCGAGATGTTGGTGAAGGTATACTAGACGCAATCAATGATGCATGATCCCTTCATGCTGTGATAGCTTAAATTATGGGCTTAGCCTGAATCGTTCTCGGTACTGCCGAAGTTGGCTCTGGCTCTATAAATAGATAAAGTGGCAGCCAGCGTTCATGTATAACGGCAGTGCCGCTGGAACTCACCCCTTTTACTTACAAACACGTAGAATTAATCAAGTTGAATGAACTGTATCTTCTAAATTCATCAACGCTGTCGTGGGCGGGCGTGTGATTTAGGAATTGTTGGCACGATTTGTTGGGACCTCCACACTCACAGAGCGTTCGCCAATGAAGTCATGATCACTGAAGAGATGCTGCCATTTGTGACCAAAAGGCTATCGTTTATAAAAAAGAAAACACAACGAATCAGGTTTCTGGTTTTACGTCCATGTTACTCATGATACAGTCTAGCTCCCGTCCTCGCGAAAATTCTCGTACATGATGCCCTCCCCATTGTTCGTTGTTCGTGTGACGCTGCTTAGCTGGGGTTCCTTCTTGAAGACATGAGATTTGCCTCGATTTAAGCGCAGTTACACCCGCTTTTGTTACAAATCGAGGACAATATGGGCAGACTCGGCCAGAAAGATGGCACCGATGGATGCAAGACTGATGAGAAGCGCGTTCGCGATTGGCCTTGTCTCCCATCGGATCATCAAAGCGTACATCGGCACACGTATCCGGCCGTCACGCTTTTCGATTCTGACAAATAAGTTTTCGTAGAGACCAAAGAGGCAGTTATAGCATGACCAGCACATGTGTTCGGGGTTCCTCAAGGCCGCCGTGAGCGCCTCATCGCGGAAGGCGTTCTTGACAAGAGCTTCGGTGGTTGGCAAGCTGTCGAGGTTGGGCACACTGATGTCGTGTAGTGCCACTCGGTAGACTGTCAGCTCTTGTAATTTGACATACGTTTGAAAGAACCTTCCGAATCGAGTGAGGGTCTGTTGGTAGGTGTCACGAAGTGTTTTGGCAAAAGTCCGTGAGTCTTTATCTGTCGGTATGCGGATTGTGAAAGCAGGGGTGTTCCCAAGTCCCAAGGACTCGAAAAGAACAAGACAAGAGAGTGTGTGTCTCTGTTGAGTGCGAGAGTACACATGTCGTGACTGTGTGAGGCGCCAGTATTGGTCATGCAGGTAAGAAATCTGCATGATGAGCAGCTGAAGATTGAACCCACGAGGTCGATATTCGTTTAAGTTGAGGAAGTTTCATGGCCCATCCTACAAGGGGGTACACAGTAGGTAAATCCAGTAAGAGCACTCCGCTGATATTCATTCATATGGTGCTATTATGAGTACGAATACGTCATGGAATCTGTGAAGCCCCTCCCCAAAGCCTCATCCCCCCAGCCTCAACAAGGGGCTTGACGACTGCAAGCGATTGTGAAAATGGGTTAGAGTCCTTTCTTAGATTTGGTGGCGCTGCATTTGTGCAGCCGCAACTGTTCCCTGCCGCACGACTTCGACACACTCACTGCGGCCGCAGGCAATGTGCGAGGGAATCATAGCATGAGGGATGGGTCTCTAGGAGAACGCTGCTAGCCCAAAAAGCCAAGAGAATGCATCCTCCTTTATGGTCTCCTCAAGAAGGCTCAGCCGATCCTTGGTATCTACGATGTAAGGCTACTAAGCTCCTGAGGATTGCAGAGCACTAGTGATCCTTCTCCGAGTGCTGTCTTCAACCAACTGGAGATCAATCATAAGCTGGAACACCGTTAGTTGGTGAACGATGGCCAGTTGTTCGAAATGTGTATGCATATGAGCCTGTTTAGTGGAAGAAGTGCTCGCACTATGGTTCATTCAGAATAGCTCCAATCATTGAAATGATGAAAACTGCATTTCCCCCACTAGTTCGACGCCTCTCAAACCTCAATACTGGCCACGGGACTGAACACTGAACTAGTACCTGTTATTCCTGATCATCATCAGCAGCATCACGATGCTTAGTAGACATCTATCAAAGTATAAACAGAGTTTTCATAGGGTGGCGCAAACCTCCACAAACTGGATGCGGCTGGGCCTAAAAGGTAGGTGTTGAATGCGCATTTGTTAGATGAGAGTTGTCCTAAACTCTTTGAAGCTGATGGTGACGAATCGAATCATCTTGAGATATCCAACTTAGGGTCCAATAACACTGCCTTGATGTAACCACATCTCGCCTCTCGATCTCAATCTTCACGAGTATTTCTTACGTCATGTCATAGCTTAGCCGGCTTTGCAAAGCTATCTAATTCGATATTCAAAACAGTTGTCATACGCGAGCAAGTGTAGTAGAAGCCCTGATAAGTCGGTACGAACCTGTGACAGATGGAAGCTGGAACCTTACCTGAAGGGTGATCAGCTCCACAATCTCACGATCCGAAAGCTCGGCCTTTGCGCCCGCAAACACCTTGTCATCCACCTCAGGACCCTCAATGACAGCTTCAAGGAACACCAGCAGCGTTCTCTCCTTCTGCGTGAACAGATCCTTCAATTGCCCAGAGCCATCCTTCCCTGCTAAGAAGCCCTTTTGCTTTCCCGCCTGAATGAGAACCTCGCGCTGCGCATCAGTCACCCCCTCCTTGGTCGACACCGGGACATGGTGCGAAAATTCGTATGACGACCTGAACTTTGACGTGCTGAGAAGAATCGACAATTCTCGGTTCTTGTTGGAGAGTTCCAGGTCTTTGAATTGAGCTGCGCCGATGCTGGCCCAGTGCTTCGCCGTGGCCGGGGTGTGGGCGAATTGCTTGAGGACGTTGAGGCCCTTGGCTTGGGGTTCGGGATAAGTAAGGCGTGCCATTTTTCGAAGAATTTGTGAGGAAATGCAAGTGACTTCGTAGCAACAGAATTTTTTCAAAGAGAGGTTGCGCAGTGGTTTAGTAAAGAAGCGTATAAGTCAGGCCCCGAGTCTGAGTGCCTCGGTAGCCCCACTATTTGCCGCTAGTCTCCGCACGACTTTCGGACCTCGGCTCCGCATGGGGCCGCCGGGGTTCGACAAAGACGGAGTTCGACACTCCCGGGATGTCCGCAATCCTGGCCGCAAGTCATATCTTGCGGCGCTTGTATGAGGAGCATTGCTCATCATTGAGCTTCCGGGGAGTTTCGTCCAATTTCACCGCTTGCACCGGCAGCCGCAGCGGTAGTGTTCAAGTAAGATGCGACATGGCGAAGATTTAGTATTGCCCCTGTGCCATAGCAGTAAGCATTATGATCATACTCCGTATCTTCGCACCAGCTGTAGTAGTTCATTTACCGCATTGCTTCTCTCCAAGTGGCCGTTCCGCGTATAAGCGAGCTCAATCAGATTTGAGCCACAGCGCAATGTCGTCCCTCCCTCTTTAAACAGTCGTGCTTCAGTCGATCGTATCTTGAAACTGGATCAACCACTAAGAGGTTTTGTCCGAGATCATATTTGACTTCATCACCCAATGGCAACGTTTACTATTCAACGTGATAGGTACGAATAAGCGGCCAACAGAAATGCTGACCGATGGCAGAGGCAGCCGTTGTGCTCAGCTGATGATGAAGCATATTTTACGTTCTACTTGTGATGGACTACAAACGTGTCCGCGACTCATAAGGCTAGAGATTGAATTGGCCTGATTCGAATCATAATGGCTCTGATCTTGTTCATGTTTCAAAGAGATACGATTTGGAACAATTCATAAACTTGCTGATGGCTGAAGGTCATCTTTCCTGCTTCAGTGGTGCCCCATGATGATCATACTTCAAAGTGGAATTTGAAGTAGAGCACGAGCTTCAGTTCAGAGATATTTTCCTGTATCTTCACTTGCGTTGACTGTTACATGGCAAACGAAGTCACTCACAGTCCATTAGAATCGTGGTAAACTATTCAAATGCTTTCAAGCCTTGTGAAGATCTTTCAGAGATTTCTAGTTGATGGATCAGACCTAAGAACCCTTGACTCACGGTTATGGGTGGCAATCTGTTATCTGCTTGCCGCTTCGGTGAGATCGGGTAGCCTCAAATGCCTTAAACGGTAAAGGACTCACAAGGGTGTGAAATCGCAAAGCTCTCATGATATCATTTCAGTTCTGTAAGGGGCTGAGTTGTTACTTCACCATCGTTATTTCCAAAGGTATCTTCCAAATGACGCCGACTCGCCTCTGTAAGTCCATGGCCCTTGATCAAGTCTGTTTGGGCCTACACTATGCAGCTGTTCTCCGGCAGGGACGACGGCTTCCTCGTCTTCTCTCGCCACCACCGTCGATCTTCACGAGCCCGTAAGAGGGGGTCGTTGAGACATGCGCCATAGAAGCAGGCAATGCAATGTCTTGCATTTATCACAGCCCGTCACATACCAATCTCCACCGATGAACGTGTTAATCGAACGAGGCTCTAAGAAACGAAGACCATCGCCGATGTTCCTGCCAAGATGTGCCGAAACCGAACTGATCAAGAACGCGGTCCATGAAGAGGTGGAGCTAGATGATCAACCTATGCCGTATCTCGACGAGCGTTAAAGGTTTCCTGATATGACAAGTATTAGTTCCAATGCCAGTAAGAGGCGCCGTGGGGATGAAGGAGTCGCCAAAGTGGATCAAGTGAGCGGGAAAGGCGGGACATCGGAATCACTGAACACAGGTCTTGGAACCCGGCGAGGATCATGCGTCCGCTGCAGCCGATGTTTGGTCGAGAGCCCATAAGCCGACTGGGGCTCTCGGGCTGTTTCGTGGCGATCCTCCTGATGGAAAAAAGACAATCACAGACAGCCCCAAGGCAAAGTCGGCCTGGCTGATCGAGAACGCAGCACGCGAGACATTACCCGGGAGGAGAGGTCAGGACTGAGTCAAGCGCGGGGAGCAGCTGCAAGGCTCGCGGGGGAAACAGGCTCTGTCTAAGCTGACTGAGCGAACTAGTGGCTCGAAAAGAAAAATGGTTGGGAGCGAGACCTGCATTCAACAATGAAGGCATTAGATTCCTGTCATTGATGCAGCTGTTGGCTTCCTTGGCCAGCGTCTGGGTTCAATTAGTCAACAGGTAGGATTGATGTGCCTCGGTGAGGGATTTTCTATGACTGGCGTTATTGGCTTTCCCAAGCAATCCGAAGGCAGCTAATAGGCGAAGTGTTGGCGATGACGCAAGGCGAGAAGAGGTGATCCGAGTGGAAGAGCAGAGGTTGAGCAGGGAACAGAGCACTTCCATGGAACCACCTCAGTGAACGATGTGAAGAGGAAAGAGTACGTACCTATCGTCGGATCCATCACAGCGCACAGACAGATTAAAGTAAGGTCGGTGCACTGGCGCCCAGTGCTCGGGCTTGAGATGGCACGATGGCGCTACAGGTGGGAAACACGAGGTGTGGCTGCTCATGGCAGATGTCACGCACTTTTCACGGTAGTCTTCGAGAAACATCGGAATAAACTGCGTCGTGGCTGGTAAGGAGGAATCGGACGCTGATGTTGGTGCACCATACCACGAAAAAGTAGAGTTTGGAACGCTAAAGAGGTTGGAGTTTAGGGCGAGGGGCATGGTGCCGGGAGGGGCAATGGGGCTACGGATACGCTATGGGGCATTCGAAGAGGGCCATCACGATCTGCGGTGACAGTTGGATGCAAATCCCCCGCCAGCAATCCCCGCCGAGTCTTATGCTTATTCTGTCCACAAGACGTTTTGTTTCCTCTGTTCGCCCCAGGTATGTTGCTCGTATAAGCAATTTGGACATGCAGCCCAGTGCGTTGTGCATGGCAGGAAAAGCACGCCTTGTTCGATTTGCATGTGGCTTGCATAAAAGGCGTCTGGAGTCCAGATGCTTCTCCCTCTCACTGCAGAGTGAGGTCAACGGGCCAACTGCTGGTCTTTCGGGGCCGAAAAGACATGCCAAATGCTGCACACACAACACACAGAGAGAGGTCGGGAAGCATGAGATGGGATGGATGTTGCATGAGAACCGGGACAGCAGGATGCAAGGTTGAGATGGCAACCACCACTTCGCTCAGCTCCACCTCTCTCTCTTACCCACGTCGTCTGTTCCTCTGCTCCTCTCCTCCCGCCGTGGTATTCTCTCCTCATCCTCGCCCATCCCGCCCTTCTGGTTCGTTCGCTCCAACTTTCCCAGGTTTCTCTCCGGCCTGTTCGTCACTTCTTACAGGCTATTCCCGCCTTGGTTCCAATGTTCCATGTCTTCCCCACACCTCCAGTCTGTCTTCCCACGCACACCATCACGCCCACACCGACAACCGTAGGCGCCACAACCCACATTGCCCATCCTTGTTCCCTTGCCCGGCGTTGTCCTCTGCATATCCAACCTGCAGCCAGTTCCTGATCCTACCTTGCCCTAGGCATCTGTGCCGCTCCCGACGAAGCCATCATCGCACCAGCCATCGAAAGCCCGCTCAAAGTCTGCCACGCCGCCCCGCCCCGCCATGCGTGCTGTCGCCCTTCTTTCTCGGAGAGACTTGGTCATAAAAACTGACCCTGACGATGGTCTCGACCAACTAGCCAATATGCCACCGCAGTCTTGCCAAGTGGCCTCCGGACATGAGATCGGAACATTCGGGTGTTGAGCCTTGCCGTGGACAACATATTCAAGTGCGCAACTAAGACAATGCAGGTCTCGAAGCGGGCACAAACGATGCGCAACTTCATCATAAGAGCACCGCCCGCGGAGGAACCGCAGAAACGGCGCCGCAAACACGCAGGCCTCACGAGACGAAAAGGCATGACATGCAAGGCCGTAGACTCAAGGTTGTCCCTGTTCGCTGACCGTCAGCAGCCTAGGCCGCGCACCTCGCCTTGAACATCAGCATCATGTTGTGGTGCCACCAACCCGCAGCTTATTCGTGCAACTTGCAAGGACTCGAGAGCTCTGCCGCGACAACCCTTTCGTGCGCTGGCCGCAATCGAGCTCCAGCATCTCACCAGTCGAGTCAACCATTTTTCTAAAGCTCGTCGACCAACATACGTCCAATATTCCCGATCCAGCATGGCGCGTTCCGTCCGTCAGGCCCCATCTGCCCACTTCACAGTCGCCGGCTTCTTGGGTCCTTGCCTTAGCTGCCCTACCGGGACTATCATCCGGCGAGCTATTGGCAAGTGCTGCTGTTCCTGTTAGCAAACACCACATCGATCCCGGCGGCCAGCCTAGCTCGGGCGACCAAGCATGCCCCGCGGAAAACTGCGAGTAGCCAGGGCGATCGCTGATGATGCTCGGGCAACAACGGCAATTCTCAACTCTGCCGAGAATTCGCATGTCAACCGACAGACGGGTCGGATTATCGGATCACACGCGAGTGCGCCAGTCTTGGCTGCGTTCGGTCGGAAAGCCTTCGACTGTCATCTCACCCATCTTCAAGCTGACATCACCAGCCACATCTGGGGACCCGAAGTGGGATGGGAAGCACAACTTGGAGCCTCTGTTGACTGCCGGACTCTAGGTGCTATCCGCCGCTGGCCTGGTTACCATGTTCGCGGCTCGTCCACAAAGTTTGGCGCCCACACCAAATCAAGTTTTGTACCTCGTCCGCTCCTGGTTCACCTCACTGGTTGGACGCGTTCCTGTACACCAAGGGTTTTAGACTGCAGCATCATGCGTTTCTTCATTGGTCGGCTCCCGTGAGCTGCAGATCCTTGGCCAAGTGCCACGACCTGGACACGAGCCCTCCTCTACACTCGAGCACGGTTCTCTGTCCAACGACGGAAATCTTTGTACTTTACTCCAACTGCCTCATGCCCAGCTGGCAAGTCTAACAGACATCTGCAGCTAGAAAAGACTTGACAGCTTCGGCTTATTGCTATCAAAAATACGAATGAGCCGCGTCCCCAAAGCGTCAATTTCATTTCGACGACTTGGACCGTGAAGAGCTAAGGCTGTAGCCCACGAATAACGCTTGCCATTGAAATTACAGACTTGACGGTGACAAGGAGGGGCACGGTGATCGCTGGCAAACATCACCGTCACGCTTCTGCAGTGCTGCCTTGCCAGCATCTTCAGCTTGCTGGTCAGACAGAGTTAGCAAAAAGCCCTGGCAAAGCAGCATTGCCTCTCTGCCGCAGCCTGCAGCGATTCCTATGACCACGATTGGGCTGAGTGACCCTGGAAAGCTCACCACATAAGAGACAATTATATCAACTACACATACGCAGTTGTGTGTCATTCTGAAGGCCGGCCGTGCCCGACAACAAGCGGCCAGTCATGGAGACCTGCACGTTCGAGCATCGCGTCCGCCTCAACGCCTAGGCGGCATCATTGACAGGGGCCAGGGCGGTCTGCCTAGTCTCTGCAAATCCGACGCCATCGGCCCTGTTCAGCTATTTCGGTATCTCTCATTCGCTGTTGCCATCGAACAAGCTACCAGTCTGACTGTCAATCTGACATGGGTAATGCTGAACCTTGCCAAGCCTTGTTGTCGTCGTCCAACCTCTTCTCTTACTTGCAGTGGCGCTACGCACACCGGATGGCGTATGGCTTGTGTTCTGCGTGTTGGTCAATCCAACTGTGTCGCCATTCGGCCGAGACTGTTTCGTTCATCTGTTCACACCATGGGCATCTCTGCATAACTCACGCAACGAGGCCCCTCTCCAGCCACGCATGGAGCTCTAGACTCTCTCCCACTGCTGGTCTGCATCTCCAAGATCGCCTTTCCTCGTATCACAGACTTGGCAACTATTCCCTGTCCCTCCACCCATCGTCTCTTTCATGGGTCAGACCGTGGCCTGTCTGCTGTCCGCATGGCCCAAGACCAATGCAAGCCGCTGTGGAGATCGACGAGACCTGTTGGTCGACCGAAAGATGTAATCGCGACCTCCGCATTTTCTCACATCCTTTCCTGCTCGTCTGCAGGTAGGAAGCAGAAGGCCCGAGCAGACCGGCCTTCTGGTCCTTCTCAAGATATAAGCATACCAGCCATCCTGCTTTCCTCGACCATTTCCGTCTTGACTCTCCATCCTCTTGCAGCTCTGTCCAGCCTCTCTCCATCTCCTAGCCAACCACCTCGTTGTGCTATCAAGTAACTCAGTCGTTAAGGTTACTTAAGAGACTCTCGCTCAAGTCGCAGCTCTTGCTTCCTCCAACCATCGTTTCAAGGAGTATCTCTCGTTGATTACTCTCAACCCCAACCCGCCCCACCCGCAACCATGAAGTACACTTCTGCCCTCCTGGCCTTGGCTGCCACCGCCATCGCCACCGGCGACGACCATGACCATGACCACGGCAAGGACAAGACGAAGACGATCACGACGGTGACCGAGACAACAATTACAACTTTGTGTCCTACGACCAAGACCCACTACGGTCCCGGAACTACATACTATGAAACCGAGACCGTGACTTCAACCATCGTCACAAAGGTCCCGACTGTGATCATCGAGACCGTACCCGGCCCTACCGACTACGCCACCGAGACCGACGTTGATTACGTTACAATAACTTCTCTTTGTCCAGTTGTCAGTCGAATCAATTCTTGAAGCCTTGATGCAATTTTGTTGACATTTCGACAGACAAAAACGATCACCGAGGAGGGACAAACTCACACCATCACCACGACTGAGCTCTCGACAATTGTTACGAAGATCCCTACCAAGGTCTACGAGACTGTTCCCGGTCCTACTGCCGTCGTCACCGCCACTGTAAGTGCCAGATAAGTCCAATACGGCTACCTATTTGGTGCAAGCACAACTTGGAGCCCCTTGCTAACGTTATGGGGAAAAGGACAAGGAATTAACTACAATAACCTCTTACTGTCCAATCGTACGTTGAAACAACTCTAGAAGCCTCCTGGCACACTGTTGACAATTTGGTAGACCAAGACCATCACTGAGGAAGGACACACTTACACCATCACCACCACCGAGCTCTCCACGATCGTCACCGAGGTTCCTACCAAGGTCTACGAGACTGAGAAGCTTCCTGACGTGACCAAGACCGCTCACGAAATTGACTACACCACAATAACTAGCTTGTGTCCAGTGACTGAGACCAAGGTTATTGATGGGCACACCCAGACGATCGTCTACACTACCACGAGCACCATTGTGACCAAGGCTCAGACCACGGTCGACGTCTACACCACTCTCAAGACGACCAAGCATGTTGAGACCGAGGTGTACGAGACAATCACCAAGCCCGAGACCACCTACAAGACCATTGAGCACGGCGAGACCATCTGGGTGACCAGCACGGACACCAAGAAGATCTACGTCACGGCCGTGAAGACCATCACTGAAGTCTATCCCGAGACCAAGACGAAGCACGTTGATGTCACGATTCCCGTCACAGTCGGCGGCGAGTCCGTTGTCACTCAAAAGTCCTGGGTCTATGTCACTGTCTCCGGCACTGTCCACCAGACTCTGACTCAGGCCCCCTCAACTGTCGTCGTTCCGACCACCAGCGCCGTCACCCTTCCAGGAACTACCGTCGCGTCTACTGCGCCCGTGGTTGTTCCGACGGCTGCTGCCAACGCCCAGAAGGCCCCCGCCGCGGCCTTCTTGGCTGGTCTCTTCGGCGCCGTTGCTCTGCTCTGAGTTCGACGAGCTTGAGCTGCAGATGAGCCAACTTGGCCGTCTATTCCCTTCAATTCTATATACGCACTCTGCATGCCGAAAGGCGATTGAGGAGAGCATTTTATTCAACGAATGATCTATATGATTAATTCCAATGATACACCACGGCTACAACAGCATCACGGATATGACATATACCCAAAACACTCTTTAACGACGGAAAATGGCGGAGGCTTATGGTCAAACGGCGATGTAGGCGATTCAAGGCATTGAGAAGGACGGATAATTCTTAAGCAACAACAGGTCTTATGGCGGCCCATTTCATGGGAACCCCCAGCAGTAGTAGACCATAATCATATTCTCGTATATACCTAGATGAAGGCAGAGATTGGGGACCGGGCGCAAGGCTCTAGGACTAATGGAATAATGACACGAAATATCCTGATACCATCTTGATTAGTCCTGAAATCTCTTCCTGGGCGTCAAGCTCATGTGTTCACTGAAGGAGGGTCGGTCACTTGACCCATCGGCCAGGCTACCTTCCCCAGAGAGCATCGATACCCTTCCCAAACGAGAAAGAAGCGTATGTTCACAGCATATTCGCCTCTCTCACGTTAACAGTCATCTCCTCTCTTGGTAGCGACCTCCTTCCTCAGCATCCCATGTCGGTGAGCGCTTTACGTAATGGGCAGGAGGTTCTCTTAGGCAGATTTCCCCTTGCCTGGACGCAGGCAAACCAGCATCACGCTCTCGAGGTTCATTGAAGCACCGTATCTCGATCACCACATCGCAAACTATGCTCATCCGCCGTCTGTCGTGGATGCTCCCAGACCAGGTGGTGCGTTGGCCGTCGATCGGAGCGATGTCACCTCGTGTAAGTCGAGCGGGGGCGGGATGCGGATGCAACATCGGGGCTTTTGTATTGCTGGCCGGGCTTCACGTTGTTGGGTCGGGCTCGGATTCAGTGCCTGGCGGAGGGTCAATCAATGATTGGAAGGTAAGCCGCACCGATATTTGATGTCATTTTCCCTTTTTGAGGGGAGGGGAGGTGAGACTGAGATGGAAGTTTCACCCCTTTTGGGTGTGCTGCATAGAAGCAATTGGTTCTGGGCGCCCTGTCAGTCTTTCTCTATGCGAAATTGATGTGTCTTTGGGGTTGGACCAAAGGTTTGGGACTTATGGGAAGGGTTTTGTTTGGTTCGGCGATCTTTGCGGGGGAGTGCGTGTGTGGCCGGCCAGTGGTTGACGCCGTTGGAAGCGCAGGTGAGACTCTTATTCCGAGTTACGATGTGAACATGTTAGTTTTTGGTTCCATGTGCTAGATTCTAAGATGCTAAATTCAAGGCACACATATCGAGAATCAAGTGTGTGAAGTACTGAGATCTGAGATTGGCGGCGGTCTTCACATGAAGCAGCGCTGGGGTCCAACTCAAACTTTGAAAATCTGACTGGAATTGATCAAAGCAATCAAGCACGTCGGTGACACGAGAGATTGAGAGTGAAGAAAAGTAATCTTCCCGCGCTCATACCAGTCCTCAACTGTTCGAGGCTGCGATGGTTTGGTATGGTATCAATCCACCCCGTCCTGGTGTCCTTCATGTCTAAGGTGATTCTTATTAGTATGAATAGACGACACAGAGATACTCACATGGCGACAACGTCAGTGGAATCATAAAGTGATTGTCGTCTTTGACATTGAAGTCCTTGCGTCTCAATTAAGTAGTCAGATCTGACCCAATTTTGATCGTACGCCACGAGATAGGCTTGCACATACTCAATCTGCGTATACCTGACGCAAAGGCTGCAATCAAACGATAAAAATATCACTGAGCGTTGAGAAATGTGATTCTACATGCCAAATGAATGTCGCTGGTGTGTTCCATCCTTAATCCCAGAAAAGATCGGACGACCTATCACGTTCGAGTCTGCCTCTAGATCCCACGAGACGGTGTACAAGTGTCGTCCACGCAGTATGCGTCCTTCGTCAACTCTCATTATCGCAGCTGGTCGTGAATTATCGCGGCATGGATAAGCTGACGATCGTGTATGTGGCTCCCCGGGAGAGAATCATTACATGGGCTTCGTCCAAATGAGAAAACGTCTCAGGGGGTGTACGACGGTCTCAACCGCGTGAGTTGCAGAAATTCATAGCGTCTCGCACTCATATGGATACATGTTCTTGCTTGGCTCAGGGGGGGATCACACGATCACGGGCGCATTATACACGACCTGATAGACGCTTTCACGTACGCCGCTAGAGGGTTAGTGATGACGCAAATTTCGCAGCGGTCATCTCTTACACGTTTTGTTATGAATTAAGTGACTCACCATAGGTTGGCATCAGCGCTCGGTGAGAGAACGTCTCAGTGCCCATGATGCTCGACGTAGAAAGCAGTGGTCATATACCCACTGCTATTGTTTCGATTTCCTCTTGATGCATTCGCACAGTCGTTACAGAGAAGTGCTGGACAACACCTAGGTTTCACGCGAATCAGATGGCCCCTGAGTTATTCAACTAGACCTTGATACAGTATCTCCATTTCCCAACCACCCCTTCCGCTGGTTTTGGGATTCCATTTGCAGAACCATCGGATCACGCTCAGCATTTGATGGTCATTATGGGATGGCTATAGGCTCTCAAGCATGCTGGCTATCACTTCATCAGGATACCTGTAAGCGTCTACATAAGGCGCTCAGGTCTGATTCTTGACTCAACAGCAATGGGGCGAACAGCTTGCTTTTCCGGCTCACGGCGAAACATGAGAGGCTAATCAATGACTGGAATTAAGCAAGCCTGCTGATTGAGATATATCACAATCCAGATTGGAAGCCCTGCATTCATTATTTCTCGACTCTAGTGTTTCTCATCTGTATTATATACAGCCAAATTATTCTGCTCCGTATTGAATGCCTCCCTTGATACTGTGTCATGCGTCAAGTGCATGAAGTGCGTCGGTTGGCGTTATTTCAAATGCATAGTACAGGACCACAAACACCAAACACAAGATGAGTGGACGAAGTCATTCGTCCTCCCTATTCCCAATGAACCATAGATGCTCCATATTCCACGACGGGACCTCTTCCCCTAGTTCCTAAATGACAATGACCGCAGTGCTCTTGACAATCTGCTGGCGCCGACACCCACGTCTAATTCTTCTAGCCCGATTGACGCAAGCTTTCCAGAGAAAATCCTTGCATTCGTCTTCGCTCTGGCCCGTGGCTTTCGACAGCTTGGGTACGGCGTCTTCATCTACCTTGGCTTTCATCTCTAAGAATGCCCTGCGATGTGAGACTCCGCGAGAGCGAATGTGGGCTGGATGCCACTGGAAGTTCGTGACAGGGCCAATGACGTTGGCTTTGAGGAAAGATACCCCGTTTTTTGACAACCTCGCAGGAGAAAGTGAAGGTATGGTGGATTTTTATCCCAAAAAATTCGAAAAGTTGAAGCTCGACGGACGTGGCCAGTCCGTACCTAGGTAAGGATCTCGGCCGGCCTTAATGGTGCACAGTGTTTCCCAATCTGATCTCTCCTACCCTCTTTGCGAAAACCCAGGACGTCAGTGGGAAGTCCAGTTCTCATCTCTTTGTCTATTCATCTCGTCAGATAAGTGATGGAAATACCTTTTTGAATGGGGTTAACACGTACATTTCATCATTGGAACGACAGCTGATTCCGTCTGAACAGTATCCGTATTGTTCTTGTTTTGATCGTGTATTCTCGTTTTGCACACTCCAGAACCCACATATTAGCTACTGAAGGCTTACCCTTCAACTTCCACAATTGGCGAATGACGGGGCGCAGGAGGTTTGTCTCCTCTGGTATCTTCTCGATAAGATTGTTGACAACCTCCAGAGAAGGTGTCGCCTTCACGGCTTGATAAAGCTCGACAAGAGGTGTGATTCCATTGCCATAGGGGGAGTTTAAGCCATGCTGCCGATGCTCAACCTGTCCTGTGGTTGCCAAAAATAGCGTGTGCCGGCTTTACGGAGGTCTCCTGAGACCGAGTCCAGTAATTGATTAAGTAGCAAAAGCCAGCTGGACTCACAAGGTCGTGCATTAGTACATCCTTCAAGGCGTCCCCGTCGTCCCCCTCGTCCTCGTCGATCTCGCTGTCCACAGCGCAAAGCTTGTCGTTGCAGATGATGGCCTTATTCCTTGTGTAGAGAACGTTAGCTACTTCTGCTTGATTATGAATAATATCACTTGCAATCGCACTGTCACCTTCTTTGAATCCCTTAACTTGAAAGGTAATCTGGGCGCATTCTGTTTCGGTCGTTCCATCTTCGACCCTGACTCTCTGGTGCTTTGGAAGGTTCTTCTTCATAGAATAGGCGTCTTGCATGCGTCATGATCCAACCCTCGGTATGAAACCATGTAGCGTGGGGCAGTAGAGACGAGTAGTGGCGTGGGAAATCGGTGTACTCGGTCACGTAAGGTCGCATAGGGGGAATGAAAGTGAGTTTAATGCGAATGAGAGGCTCAGCGATACCAAGACGAGGGAGCCACTTGCAGTGGTCGCTTTGTGGGTAAAGAAGAGCAAGGTGGTGAGATAACCACGGCCCTCAGGTCAAGCGACCGCTTATGAAGCAGAACAGCTTACTGAAGAACTTTCAGACAGGGAATCCATGCTTGAATGAAAGTCACCCCGCGAGAAATGAAGTCTGACGAGGGAAGGTACCCTGCGGGGAAGCCGCCGTACGAGGACAGAAGTCTGATAAGAGAACCTTCCCTATCAGGGAAGCTATCCTGCAAATGAAGTTGCTCTGCAATGGGAATCGCTCTAAAGACGATGTAGCGGCCGCAAGAGAGGGAGTATAATGAGGATAACGAGCAGCATGTAGGTGTCTATGGGAAGAAGTATGGCTGTATTGGCGGCTGCCAGAAGTCCCTATGGGTAAGGCAGTGGCAGCTGCAGCTAATGGGCGTTAGGCATTAACGCCAGGTGTGCCCCAATATCGTGTGACCGGGCAGTATTAGTCCGGAGTGGAAGGAGCAAAGCGAGAGGATAGTCTGGGAGGGT